GAAAGTATGAATGGGTGGCTTGATGGATTAAGAGCTTAATCTATTAAGTTGTAAGAGCCCAGTTTTCAAGACGTGGCAACGTGCTCTCCGCGATATGGCGACTGGGGATATCGCGACTATTTTGTCCTCATTCTACCACGACGTGACCAAAGGGTGACCACGATGTGGGGGTCAATTGGGACTGAATTTGACCGTTGACTTGTGACCATTGTTGATGTTTTCTCAGTTTAAGGGCTTTAGAGCATAGACTGAGATGGTACTTCTTTATTGTTGTTAGGTGTCTCGTTGTACCGGTCCTCACTGTATGAGATTTATTGTGTAAAGTTGCTATTTGTGAGGTGAGTCTTCTCACACTATTACTTATGACATAGTGTGTGCATGCTGACCAGTTAGGTCTTAATATCTGATTTCGATTATGTGTTACTGAGCTGATGATAGCACCAGGGTATGTTGTTAGCCCATTGGGACTGTTGATAGTCTTGAGGGTTGCTGATAATAATGGGTTTTACATGTATTAATGCAAATAGATCCTTAACACTTAAGGGTACATGAAACCTAAAAATCTAATTTATAATACTATTGATGTAACATTCTATTGAACAACAAGAACCCTCTACCCTAGGTAATTTCAAAATCTATATAAGAAAACCATACCTTTTGATTGTTGTAGTAAACAATCAAGAATCCTTTCATCTTTGATTTGGAAGCTAGCACCACAAATATTGTGCCTCTGATGGCTCACACCCAACACTAGCAACAAGAAGGTTTTGAGAGAGGAGATGGGATATGAAATTTCAATTATCTCTGAGTAGGAGGAGTTGCCAAAAATTTGAGCTCAAGGGGTCCTTTTATAGTTTAACTTGGAAACCCTAGATAACCCTAAATGAATAAAATAATATTTATTCAAAATGGTAATTATCTAGCTTCTTATTTATCTGCAAAGAATATTCCAGATACCCTGGAATACCCTAGAATTCACCCACCTCCTTCCAAGGAAGGTTCTGGACTATTTCTTGTTCAACTATTGAACAATTGAACTATAACCATTGCAATTTAAATTAATACAATTAATCCCAAAATTAATCTAATTAATTTATGCTTAATTATTAATTAAATATTACTCTTTTTAATTAATATATTACTTTCATAATATATTAATAAATTCATTTATTGTAATTTATTAATCATATAATAAATCAATAAGTCAGTCTCTCTGTATCTCTCTCTTTCTCTCTCTCTCTCTCTCTCTCTCTCTCAAAGTCATCATATTCAATTACTGGGTTTGAAGGCAACCCAAAAGGACTTTGCTAATAATTCAAGTATACACTAATTCAGGTATTGGCTTAGACACCTAATCCAACAGATAACCAATTGGTGTTCATTTATGATGTGTTGTTGTATGTGATATTTTGGGTAACTTATTATGCTTTGTGCTTACAGTTATGGATTTAAATGTGTTTCAGGTACTTCTGATGATCGTGGAAAGGTGAAGGCTTGATTGTACACTCTTTTCGACAGCTTTCATGATTATGCGCTTATGATACTCTGATTTTGGGATGAATGTATTTTGATACTTATGATTTTATTGATTTCGTTTTCCTAGAACAATGTTTTATTTAACTTAAAAATGAAAATTTTGGTTATGATTTTTGGGACGTTACAAATTGGTATTAGAGCCTTGGTTTGAGGGATTTGGAAGAACACTTGTGTGATTCCATACTCAAACTAAGGACCTGAGAAATTTTTCATATAGAAAAATTGTAAAAATTTAAGTTTAAGGAAAGTAGAGGAGGATGCGAAGTATACAGTCAGCCAAAGCTCAAAAAGTGAATTCCCAAAATATCCATAATTGTCTTCTATGTTGTAATTGAGTTTTTGTTATAAGATCTGTTAGAAATGCATGCTAGTTGATAGGCTAAGGATCCCATCAGGATTATAATGATATAGTTGCCTAAATTCTTAACACCTTATATCCTAGAGGAATGTTTTTGATGCTATACTAGAAGTTGAAGTTAATACTATTAATTGTTATGTGTATACTATATAGTTGTATATAGTTAGGATTTTATAGCCCTGGAATGCCAGATTTATCCGTATTTCTTATTCCTTGTTTGGTTGTGGACTTGGAGTAGAATCATTTATTCGACCATCTATCGGATCATGGATTGTTTATGACTGGTATACGTAGAGCAGTTAACGAGATTAGTGGAGACTTCTAGCAGTGCGGGAGGTGGTCGAGGGAACCTAGGATGAGTACATAAAGGTTAGACATGGACTTGTGGGGGCATATAGATGCATGTGCCGATGCAATCAGTGTGAGGTAGCTTAGTAAATTGGGGTCTTGGAAAGAAATTCGAGTCAAACACAGATATGTGTAATAGGTAGTATGGGCCCGTGCTACTGAAAGCATAAGATCCGTATGAGATTCAGGAAAAATCCCAAGACTACTAAGAAGCTAATAGGGATGTGTATAGAGTGTATGTTTGCTATAACCTGATTTTGACCTATTTATTCACATATTTTAGTATGGTGGTGACTACCCGAGGTTCATGCTCTAGTGATCCGGAGAGAATGGGTTCCAGTGATGATAAGATCCGTAGGATCATTGCCACTAAGGTCACCACAGCTATGAGGGAGGTGATCCCGGAGATGTTTGGTCTATTAAGACCACACTAATCAAGTAGTTCGACGAGTGCTACGCTATTATCACTAAGGTTGCTACTGCCGCAATCACCGCAATCGTTGTCACTGCGAGACCGCATGGGAGTGATTCAATGCAGTACCGTGAATTAAACAGTACGTAACCCCTAGAGTTTGATGGGACAACGGACCTATTTGCTGTGATGAGATGAATTTCTAATGTTGAGCGGTGCTTCTATACCTGTTCAATTCTGGAGGACCTAAAGGTTTGATTTGCGTTGAACCTTCTTCGCTTGGAAGCGAAAGACTGGTGGAAGTTTGTAACTAATGGTTACTCACCTGCGGAGCAAGCCACAGTGATATGGGGGAGATTTACTGATATGTTTCATGATGAGTATGTTGTTTTGGTGGAGAGAGAGAAAGGGTGAGATGGAGAGTCAGAGGAGGGAGAAAAGGCATGCTCCAGTACAGTCGTGGTAGGTGACTAAGCGATTCAAACCCACTGATACATGATCAGTAGGATAGAGAGGCTACATTTGCAGCAAGTGCAGTAAGGATCATCAAGGTCCATGTCGAGTGGGGATAGTATGCTATATGTGCAGAAAAGGGGCACTTTACGAAGGATTACCAGAAGGGTTTTCCAATTTGTTTAAGTTGCAACTAGATGGTCCATGTGAAGGCTGATTTCCCATTGCTTGCCTTGAGATCAGTGTAGACTCCAGCTCCTACGACTTTACGCATCACTGATGGACGCCAGAGGAAAACCGAGGCCCCAAAGGCCTGAGGACGAGCTTTCCATTTGATAACAGAAGAGGCCAGAGCGGCGCTAGGCGTCATTACTGTTATGTCAATTTATATTTATATTTATGTCAATTTATATTTCTTGTACGCTTATATGCATGCTTATGTGGGTACATTCCTAGTAAATTCATTATATGTGTTAAGCGCCAGACCTCCACCACCACCATCTAAAAAACCCTAACTATAGCACCGTCTGGAAGCCTTTCCCTAGAATAGATCTAAAAAAATCTCTGATCTAAAACGACATTTTCCGGTAATGGCAACAAATGAGGACGGGGTAGAACTCTAGAGAAGGTGAAAGGCAAGGAGTCAGTCTAGATGTTTAATGGAAGTAAGTTTCAGATTGGGCCAATTTTCTGGTTAATCTTGGTGACGATGGTGGTTTCTAGACCCTATCTGGATCTATCCACCTATCCAGATCTACTATTCATCTTCTCCGACGATCGTACCAACAGAAGAGAGAGACAAAGAGACGAAGAAATTTTTGGCATCACTTTTGTCGAAGTTCGACGGACTCCAATTGTAGGATGTAGCCTTCTCGATCTAGATAAAAGCTGAGTTTCATCAGGTTAAGGAATTCAAGATGTGGGGTGAGGGTGGAGGAGATGGAGGAGGTTGATGGTAGATGATGGTGGTGGCGAACGATAATGCTAGGCGAAGATTTTGTGTATGTGTTCTTTGATAGTATATGTATGTGTGTGTGTTCTGTAAAAGAGATATAAAGAAAAGGTAGCAGGTGGTGTGTGTGTGAGAGAGAGAGAGTGTGTGTGTGTGTGCAAAAGTCTTTTTTTAATTGATTAAAAACATTAATATAAATACAAAAATAGGAAAAAAGAAGTAATAAGGGCATAAAAGCCATTTTAAGTCTATAGGGACCAAATTCAATAAAAAGATCTGAAATTGAACCAATAATGCATCAACAATCTTTTTTGGACCAAAATTAGGGAATTTTACCAATCACAATACATTTTTGCAATTTTGTAAGAAGAAAAACACTCGAAATGTTTGTACGATCGTTGAAGATTCAAGCCCATAAACAAAATATGAGTTGAACTTGAAAGTTGCAGGTAATATTTCTAACTTTATTGTATAACAAACTATATGTGATACACTTGTATTGCATAGGCTTGTTTAATAGAAATTTTAAATATAAAATTCAAAATATTATAGATGTTTGAATTTATAAGAAAAATAAGAAATATATTAAATTATAAAAATTATCATGTTTTTTTTTCTCTTTTAAATTTAGATAAATGATTTAGATAAATTAATAAAGAAAATTAATGAAACTTTAATTTAGTAATTTTGAAATTGAAAGGAAAATCTATTAATGAAATTGATATACATTTATTATTAGATTTAAATAATATATAAAATTTAATAATAATAAAAAACCACATGTACAATAAAAATTAATTTAAAATACTATAAAATGGTAAAATGAATAAAAGTATGATAAATAGCAAAAAGATTATATATATATATATATATATATATATATATATATATATATATATATATATATATATATATATATATATATAATTTGATACTATTTACTATATTTTGTTATTTAGTGTGTTCGAAAAATAGGGTAATGGTCCATCATCACAATCACAATCCAAGACGACAGGAAACCCATCAATCTCGTCCGTCCAAGGATTCATCTCATCATAATCAACGGTCCTCATTGCACGCCACACCACACTGCTACATTTAAAACCCGATCCGAGTGCAAGCTGCCACACCCGATACCCTTTTTTGACCCGACCCTTTGCCTCTGCGTACGCCAGTTCGTACCAAATGGAGCTGCTGGAGGTGTTGCCGAACCTGTACAGCGTCATTCTAGAAGGTTCCATGGCGATGTCATCAAACCCTAGGTTTTTCTGTAATGCGTCTAGCATAGGCTTCCCGCTGCTGTGCGGGAGGAATAGTTCGACGGAATTGCTGTAGTTTGGTATGTAAGGTTGGATATTCGCCGTTGGCCGGAGTTTTCTTGCGATGCTGTTTTTCAGGTACCTGAGCTTTTCTGATAACGGAAGTATTTGCTTACCGAGCACGGTTACGTTTGATCGGATGACGGTGGGTGCGACTTTGAAAAGGTCTTTGTTAATGGTGACTCCTCTTATCCCGGCTTCGTCTTCTTCCTCAAAGATGCAGTTGTACGAAAGGTCGGAACTTGATATGTTTGTGTGTACGGTGTGTAGTAGTTTGTATTTGCTATTGCGATGATCCGAGGGACGGTTTGAGAGGAGGATCGCCGCGCCGCCGACGCGGAAGATGCCGTTGGAAAGGAGCTTGGAACGATCGTCTCCAACGTAGCAGTTCTCAGTAACGCCCTCTGTAGTCATCACTAACGCATAGGAATCATGATGCACCTGTGGTATATCATATATATTATGTTTTGCTGATATAAGTCAGTATCGGCGGTGTTAAGCATGACAGATAATAAGCAAAATGTTCACCTGAAGGAGGTTCTGAGCAAGGCCGATGGCAATTAGTCCTGCAGTGCATCCCATCCCAACAACATTGTAGCTGATGATGTTTTCTTTAAGCTTATATTTGTTCACTATCATGCTAGAAAGAGATGGAATAGTGTTATAAAGACTACAATTCACAACAAGTATCCCTATGTCTTCACATCGTACCCCTGTTTTAGCCAACAACATGTCTATTGATCCAGATACAGACATCTCCATTTCCCTTCTGGCTTCTTTCATGCATGGATCAGAATCGTTTTTCAGGAAGACTTCTGGGATGTAGGTTGAGTCACCATGTCCCGACTTGTCTAGAATCGTCTTCATGAATTGCACCGTTTCTTCTGAAAATTTTCCCATGTGCTTTAGTTTCTCGATGCAGTACTGTTTTGTGATCTTCTGAGCATCTGGAGGCTTGTAGCATGCGAAATCTAATAAGTAAACTACACGTGAAGTTCTTCTGGTGATGAAGAAACCTAATAAGAGAAGACATATGAGTAAGGTGATTAACATAAGTTTTGCTTCGGGAATGAAATGGTCTTCCAGGAGATTTTTTAAAGTGAAGATGATTGGCATGGTGTTTGGAACTTAAGTACGCAAGAAATCTTTTCGATGGGCAATGTGTTTGAAGTTCCAAATATTGTAACAGGTGTTAGTTTCCTGGAAGCGTTCTAATGAAGCTTTTATAAGCCTGAAGCTCTAGTCAGTTATCATGCTTATCAAACTTCTAAATGTATAAATATTGTTTTTAAGGTAAAAAATAGGTTTTTAGAATATAAATACATTTTTAAAGGTATTTATATATTATAAATGTATTTTTATATTTTTTTATACACATATTCATACTAAATATTGTTGAACATAATACAGCACACACAATACTAAATATTACACTGACTTCTGGTTCCAAAAAAAATCATGAAAATGACAAACAATTATTGAATTTCTTGTCTAACTCTCCATGTTCCTAATATTATAGTTGTACCCGTGTATGGATTTTTTTTTTAAAAGCAATTTTTTTTTCGAAAGCAAAATTTCAAAATCTTATTTGTGATACATCACGTCTTAGTAGGGATTAAATGTTTTGGCTATTATTTCAATGAGAACAAGTTTCTTGAAACTATTAATTCTGAAAATGTAATAAATGAATTTGCTTGTAAAATGCTATAAAATGGATGTTTAGAAAATAATAATGTATTTGATGTTTACCTTTTTTTGAAAAATTGCTTGTAATATTTGGATTCACTAGTAACGAGTGAAGTCTAGTAAAAAATTTATGATATTTTTGTTACCAACTTTAAGTTTTAAAGTTAATCATAAAAGTTTAGCTAATAATATTGAAGGTTTGTATCGATCGGATACATTTCAAGTATAAAAATGAAAGTAAAACTTAATCTAAGAAAATATGGAACCAAAAGTAAATAATATAGAAAGTTCTCCAAATCGTTGTTTTACCAAGAAGACGGATTGTTACAAAGACGATTAACACAAAGTTGAACTCTCTACATTAGGGTTTGACCTAATGTAGATTATATATACTAATCTATACATGTGCTATCTATTCTATATTTGTCTATATCACTTTACTATGCGTTGACGTTGATAAGCTTAATAAGCTTACGTTGATAGTGTGTTCTCCAAATTGTAAAGTGACTAGGGTTGATGCTAGAACTTTCTGTACATTAGGGTTGACGCTAGAATAACGCGGATAGTGCGTTCTCCAAATTGTTCTACATTAGGGTTGAGACTAGTCACTTTACATATAACAACTTGTAAGGTCACACATTATGATATAATGAGTCAAACACTCTACACATCTATCAGTGTCAGCATCTTCTCAACTATCAACATCAGCGCATCAAGCTTATCGAACTCTAGTCACTTTACATAGAATAACTATACCATGTGTTGATGCTGATAAGCCTGATACGTTGACGCTGATTGTTGAGAAGACACAGACACTGACAGATGTGTCAAGTGTTTGACTAATCAGATCATAATGTGTGACCTTACAATCTCTCCCTATCTGATGATGTCAAAACTAATCATTACTGAATTCTTTAGCTCATGCTCCCCCTGAGAATACGAGTGAAGTTTTAACTCTTCAACTTTGACGAATGCTCCCCTTGAGAATAAGAATGAAGTTTTAACTCTTTAGCTTTAACGAATGCTCCCCCTAAGAAGATGAATGAATTCTCATGATGATCAAGCAGCGAACGACATATAATATTGATGTCAGCTTGACCCCCCCCCCCCTAGATTGTACTTGGCTGAATATCTAGTAGTTTCTTCAACTTTGGCAAGATTATTCTCCCCCTTTTTGACATCACCAGGAGATTGGAACTGGAGGGGAGTATCAAAGATACAGATTTGTAGTCTAGTATAGGATTGTAATGTCTCCTAATAGTATGGGTTTGAACTACTAGTCCTTAACATAGTATTGTGAGATTTCATCTATGTGTGGTTTCATACGTTGGCTCATTAATCACTTTTATTAGAAGAAAAAGGGTAAGAGCAGTATGTTGCGTGTAATACATTCCAGTATGAAATCTACCCATCGGTGAAGAGTGTCGAAGTTTTATCAGTGTATGGCTAATATAGTGAAACATTAACTTCTTAATAGAAGAATAATTGGGAACGAGTGGGTAGGTGCGTGTAATATATCACAGACAATGATATACCCATCAACACATATTTTTCGAATTCTCATTAGTGTTTGGTATCATACGCTAGATCATAAAATTCTAAAGAAGAATTTATGGAAAGAATAGTTTGATGTGTGTGATAAGCTGTGGTGTTTTAGCTTAACCATCAACATAGATTTGCGAAGCTCTCATCAGAGTATGGTACATTCTGCTGAATCATAAACCTTTAAAGAAGAATATAAGGGAAAGAATGGGTTGGTGTGAGTGATAGCCTACGGTACATAGACTAACCATTGACACAATGTTTCAAACTTTTATCAGTGTGTGGTATATAACAGTGAATCGCTAAGTCTTATTGACAAGAATTGAAGGAAAGAATGGATTGTCTCAGACACACTGATGTGTAATCTGTTGGATTAGTGTCTAAGTCCATAACTATTTTGGTGTGTACTTGACCCGATTATGAGCAAAGTCCTTTTGGGTTGCCTTCACCATAGCAATATGTAGGATGAATTAAGGAGAGACATGTTTAATTATGATTTATTAATATATTATGAGAAAAATATATTAAAGGAGAAATCATAATGTTTAATTAATATTAGTCAAGAATTAATTTTGTGGCTAAAATAGATTAATTAAACTTAGGGGGATTGGAATTGTAATTATAAGATAATTGCAATTGGGCTATGGATCACCTTGTCTAACATCCCCAAAATCACGGCCAGAAAAGACCGATTTCAATTATGTTTTTTAAAATAATTTCAGAGTAAATCCTTTTGATTTAAAAGTGTTGCGGAATTTGTTCCCAAAACAAAACATGATAAAATAATATTTATCAAAGCATTTCATCAAGAGATGCATTTTCATTATATAATCAAAACTCGGGATGTCATATTCCGATACAGACCATAAAGCATAAACGATAACATTACAAGTCATTCAACAAATATATACATATACATACTTGTAAACAAAACAACTCGATGATTCATTTATCTTACGTCCTTGTGCCACTTCCTGTAATACAAATAAAACTGAGTGGGTCAGGCTTGGGAGCCTGGTGAGCATATAGGGTTTTCAACCCACAATAAATAAATTATATTTAATTGCACCAACCAATCACTATCCTGATTACCCATTCCCGTTATCCTCACTTTACGTCCCTAAAACAACATCTATCTCAAGGGACCTAATATAGGATTTTCATCGGGACGGACATTACTGCTAAGGTGTTTCCTCAATAATAGATATCCTAAAGGCAACCATGATGGGGATAGAGTACACCGGTGAACACATCGTTCACAACACCTACAGGTTATGAACCTACTACCGTTCCACAAGACTGTCTAGAAGGAGTCTATGGTCGTTATCCATACTCCGCTGAATAACTAGATCAACAACAACAACATCGAGGCCTCTCATCTGTTTATTACACACCAACTATTTACTCATGTTCTACCCAACATATTAGTATATAAAAATATTCATTTTTATACATAGTTTAAAACCTGTATAGCATTTTCAATCAATATATATTCCACATAACAGATGAGGTACACCCACATAACACGTATTTCATAGAAAATAAACCAGATCTATGAGATAGAAGAGAATGAATATACATTCACACGTATAACAACAAAATTATACACATAACACGTATTTCGTATAAAATACTTCATAATTATGTTTTAGAAGAAAGTAACTACACACTCACTTGATCAGAAGATGATCGGAGAGCACTACGACTTATAGAAGTAGTAATCCTCAGCAGATCTGGAAGATCTCCACAAAAATCGAACTTCTCGCGGACAGAGCTTCGACTCGGGAATCACACTTCTCGGGATCTTCGGGGCTTCGAAACTTGCTTCGGGGCTTGGGAATATTACCGGGGCTTTGGAGTACTTCTGGCACGCAAATCGAGGTAAAACGGGAGAGAGAAGAGAGAAAAAGAGCAAAAGAACTCAGCAGCCTCGCATCCTATTTATAAAGGGCTGGAGCCTCGTCATACGCTGGGTGTACGCCTGTACGCGGGGCGTACGCGTCCGAAAACGTCATGGCGTTCGTCATCCGAAGAACTCGAGTGCGAGGGATGTCACGCTTCGTTGTACGCTGGGCGTACAGCAGTACGCTGGGCGTACCTTGTATAAGCTCGGTGACTCCCCTTCGGATAAGGCCGAATTTTATAATTAAATTTAAATATTAATTATTTAATAAACTTTTAAAATTCATATCTTCTTCATACGAACTCCGTTTTCGATGTTCTTTATATCCACGCGTAGGTGAGACTACGCTCTACAACTTTTGTTCAGACTCCATTGGCTAACTTTGACTTTATTTTTATTAATTATTTTTAATAGGCCGGGACAAAAAATTTCCGTTATAAATTCATAACTTCTTCATCCGACGTCCGTTCTCGCCTAACTTTTCATCGCTTTGATACTAACAACGAGATCTTCGATTCTCGTTTAGATTGCTTCGGCTAAAAACCGCTCGATCTCAAATCGAGTATTTTGGGCTGCATACCGCTAAGTTGAAACTTCAATAAATCATAACTTCCTCATACGAAGTCAGATTTTGGCGTTCTTTTTATGCACGCTCTCGATTTAATGAACTCTACGACTTTCGTTTAGATCACTAAGGCTAAATATCGCTCTAACGTAAATTTGACTTTTTACGTCATTCAGCGTTGCTGATTCTGTCGCGAAACTTCGACGGGTCATAACTTCTTCGTTATAACTCGGATTTCGGCATTCTTTATATCTTCGGAAACCTCGTTTCAACTACTACAACATTATCTAAAGATATCAAGTTTATTTTACACTTAAACTTTGACGCTTATTTTTATTCTGAATTAATCAAACCACATAATTAAGTAATTAAGCACAAAACACATAATACTCAAATAATACACTTCTATTATTTCAAAACGGGTTACAAAGGTTAACCTATACTATTATATCATCATTAATGATAGGCCCAGAAACACAGGCGTTACAATTCTCTCCACCTTAGAATGATTCCGTCCCCGGAATCACACATCAACAAACAAATGCGGATAGCGACCCATCATGTCACTCTCCGTCTCCCAGGTGATATTCGGCCCATTCGTGTGTTTCCATCAGAC